GACTTATTTCAGAATTTGTGTCTACCTGTATATGTTTCGCTTGATAAATGTTATCAAATTGATCGCTGTAATTATTAATATTATCTTCATCTAAATAATGAATTTTTATTCACCTGATACAGTAAAAATTTCAGTACTTTTCATGATTGTTATTGTATCATAATCATCATCAATCAGCTGATGGTATGATTTTTATCTGGTTTATTTCAAATGCTTGTCACTTGAAATGTTTATGCTGATTTGTGATAATTATGAGATAATATTAATGATGTAACCCAATCAACTTTGCTCCAACATCATCTCAATGACCACTTGACCCTGGAAAATGATCTCTCTCTCTCTCTCTCTCTCTGCCTAAAATACTCGAGTGTCTCACAATTAACTCCAATGATTAACTTGATTTTGTCAAAATTTTCAATGAAAGTTTCATGTTTCATATTGATGAGGTTTTGCTTTCTTAAAGTTGATCATCTAGTTGACAGAGTCTCTCAAATGAACCTTAGACCTTAATCCATAGACTAGAATTGAATAATATTGTCACAGATATCATCTCCATCATCTCTATCACCCTCATCATCATTTTTCAACAGTTTTTTTCATCATCAACTTTCAAATGCACCTTGATGACAATGTAATATATCAATATGACGATAAGAAAGGAAAAAGGATGTTGATGCTGTAAAAACGTATTTCTTTTTCATCTTTTAAAGACACTAACTTGTTCATCTTCATCTTAATCATCATCATCATCTCTCATCTTCCCTTTTTTTCAATGAGAATTGTTGTAAAATGTTTCGTTGGACGTTGTAAAACTATCCAACTGTACTTACCTCGCGGCGTTTCAAACGGAAGGTCCAAGAAAAGAGAGTCGAAAGTTAATATTGACCACCAATGTCCAGCAAGAGAAGAGGCAAAAAAATAAATAAATAAAACGGACAGTAAACATTTTATCTGGTCAATTATTATCTGTCCTTACTACTGGTTTTACCTTTTGTATTGAAAGTAAACTATTAACAGTATTTACCTGAATATCTTGATAATTTAGACAATTTATCAGGTAAATTCAATTGTTATCTTAATGTTTGACCATAAAAACCAAAAACACACAATGAACATCAATCTTAACCTGAGGAAACCTTTTCCTTCAAGACTGATCAGCACAATTAACAATCAATTGCCAGGAAACAATTACAACTTAATTCATTGACAATCAAAAGGTTAATTCAATATAATACAAAGTGATTGCATAAATTAAAATGAAAAGTCATATTAATGATATAAATTCAAATGTAATCCGATATTGAAAAGTTTTTTCTTCTTCTCGAATTTGCAAAAAAAAAGTTCTATCAGTTATTTATCTTTCTTTGCTCTCTTTCTTTGTAGCATCTTCATCTTCATCTTCATCTTTATATCTAGTCAACTGTCAAAGTAGTTATCATTTAATTGATATCATTTGGAGATCAGGGAGAGGGAGAGGGAGAGAGAGAGAGAGGAATAATCAAGATGAAATCTTTTTTCGTCTCAAAGTTTTTTCCAATGATGAAGATGATGAAAAGCTGATGATGAGGATGAAGAAGATATCAGGTACTGATTGAGAGACTCAGTCAATTGTGAAGGTTAACTTAACATGATGTTGGCATCATCATCATCATCAACAGGGATGAAGATAAACCTGAAAATGTTTCAGATGTTAATCATTTTTTTTTGTTGATAATCAACAGTTTTCAATGGCTTTTAAAGTTACCTTGCTTTAAGGACTAAATCATTTTTGTTTATTTGTTTTATCAACTAACAACAAACAACAACATGAGATTAGTTTTTGCAACTGGAATCTTTCAAAAAGGGATAAACATTAATCTTTGTTTATCCATGTTGATGCTTGTTGATTATTATCTCATATTGATGAAGATGATGATGATGATTTGTCTTCATTCAAGTTGATAAAGATGCTAACCACTGATTGTAACAAAAAAAACCTTTTAATTGCAAATGATTTATGTTGACAATTATCAATTGTTATATTTAGTTTATTGTTACAACTTTACAAACAGTTAAGATTAAAACTGATTTGATTTTATCAATTTTGCTTTTTTTTGGTGGTTGCAAAGGTTATACTTTTTGTTTTCTTTGCCAATATCTTTAATTGTTGTCTGAATATAAATTTAGATTTTGATTGCTTTTATATAATAAGAGCTGATTGTCATCTTGATTGTGATTATTAATGAATTTAGTGACTTTCCAGACGCTTTGACCATTGTATTAATAGTTAACTGGTTGGTTGAGTTGATTCCGGAAAAATTGTTGATTGTGATCAATTAAACAAATGGTGATTTGAAAATAGCCCTAAGGTTGACCCCATCTAATTAAGCAAAGGATCAAGATGATGAGGAATATGAAGATGAGGATGACAGATACTCCATCATTGATTCAGGTTACTTTTTCTTATTTAGGGTGTGAAAGATACGGAAGAGAGAGAGAGAGAGAGAGAGAGAGAGAGAAGATGATTTCACCCAAAATGTTGATGATGATGAAGACGAAAATGAAGATTCATTGACAGGTTAACACGGCATGTACATAGATCATGATGGGGGAGGAAGGGAGAGAGAGAGAGAGTGTGTGTGTGTATTACACACCCTGGATGAGGATAAATATCATCTTAAGTGGGAGGGATGATGATAAGAAAATGAGTTGATAATAATTAGAAGATGAAAATTTGCTCGAGAAAAAGTTATTCCATTAATGAATAATGTAATTATTGTATCAATAATAAGTTGAAATGATGAAGAAAAAAAAAGATGAATGAATAATTATTATTATGATGATGATAAAGATGATAAGTATTACTATTATCATCATGATGAAATTAAGTTAATGAGCGAATTGTTGTTATTGAGATTTGATTTGATTTTCATCATTAGAACAATTTATTCACTGACCTGCCCTTTAAATGTTTGACCCTTGAAGAGCTGACGTTATCATCAATTCATCAGATGATGATGAGAAAAGGTGACCTGTCATCTTCTTATGATGATGATGATGATGATGAAATATTCAAGGAGATGAATTAAGATGAAGGTTAAATGTTTACATGTTGGTATCTTGTCAATTAACATTGAATGCTAAACGATGATGATGATGATAAAAAAGGTTCATCTCCAATTATCCTTGAAATTTAATCTACATCAAAATTGGAAAATATCAACAATCAATTGTAATTCAATTGATTGTATATGAATAGAAGCGAATCAAATTAAGAAAATCTCTTGGGAGTGTATTAGATAATATCAACTGTTTCTATTACGATTTTATGACAACCGAGGAGAAATAAAGTTCCAATATGATCAATGGTCATTTATGAGAATTGAGAAAAAAAAACAAAGCTATTGACGTATTATCATGATGATAATATTGTATCACAATTGGATGGACAATAAAATAAAAACAAGGAGTGACCATTGACACAGGTAAAAGTTTTAAGAAATGATAGTAAAATTATTATTGTGCTCAGTGTGATAGGTAAGCAAAAGGTTGACCATTTGATTGATAAAGGTCAATAATAAATTGTCAACATTCACATTGAACATCAATCAGGGCCTTCGTCCACGGTCATCGTTATTTACTCCCTTTAACCTTTCACCCGTTTGCCTCGAAGCAGTAATATTGAACACTTTATGACCTGCTAAATGGCCTCAACTTAAATATGGCATTTAACGTCTCTCTCTCTCTCTCTCTCTCGGTGTCTTCATCATCATTTTCATCTTCATCTTCGTACCATTTTCTATCCAACTGAGCAGAAAACGAAGTAGTAAAATATGATGTTCATCATGTTGTTGATGATGAAGATGAAGATTAAGCCATTTGATAATGAGTGAGAATATACTCTACCTGAGTCTCTTTTATCATCTCTCTCTCTCTCTCTCTCCCATTTTCATCCCTCATCTTTATCCATGATAATGTTTCGTGAAAAAAATACCTTTTACCGTAACAGGTAATAAGTTGAACGATAATCTATTGCAATCTATTGGTAAGAGACAAAAATCTGATATATTGAGAGAAACTTTTTTAGTTCATCTCACTTTAGTTTTTTGCTTTCTTTTTTTTATCATCCGCTTGTCATCCTTATCATCAAAAGTAGACTGAGTGAATGAAGATGAGGATGATTTTATCTCTCTCTCTCTCTCTCTCTCTCTCTCTCTCTCTCTCTCTCTCTCTCTCTGTATTATATTGTCAAAACAAAAACCTACTCAACATAAACACTTAATGTTTGAATTGTATATTTGAATCTATGAAAAGATGAATGTAAAGTCAGGTAGAAAGCGTTGCTTACCTGTGGTGCTGTTGACATCCCCTTGAGGCTTATTTAGGGTAAGAGATTAGTGATAAACCCAAAACAAAACAAAAAATTTTCATCAAACGTAATTATATTTACATTTCATAATATATTCTATCTCATTATCACCCAAACTTATCAACAAATTAATTCTAATCTTCATTCATCTTTAATCTCACATTTAATCAACTTCTTTGCTCCTTAATCGTTGCGATTAACTTTCAAACAATAGAATTGATCTTCATCTAGAATATTTCTCCTCTCATTAATCTTCCCTTCAAATACAATAATGTTTTCAATAATTATCTCTTACAACAATTAGTTCATTTAATTTTGATAATCTGAATTTCATTTGTATTTGAAACGCGTTTTGTGTCGCCACCTTTTGGACTATATTGAAACTAATGAACTTTTTTCAATTTCTTTTGTAAATATTTCCTTAAACATTTGATTCTTGAATTGTTTTGCTGAATTTTTTTTTCCTTCTTCTAAATTGTATGATTAAGGAAAAGAAAAAATTGTATTCTAATTGATCGAGTCTATTTTCTAAATCAGATCAACTAATCTAATCGACCTTGTAATTCATTAAACTTTGCTCATGCTCTCAACTATTTCATGGTAACTCTCAATTTCTTTGATTTCATTTGATGAATATAATTCACTAGAATAATAATCATGGTCAGTGATAAGAATCCATGATGACGAAAAACAGTAAAATATTTAATTAAATGTGGTCAATCAAATGGTGATAATGGTCATCCAATAGAGATCGTTGATAGCGGTCAGTGTTTAATTGTTCAAATTTAACATTTTTATCAATTGTTTTCGTGGTCAATTGATTGATCATCTTAATCGTCTCATCATGGCGATGGTATTATTTTTAAATCGAGGTTCATTTCAACCTGAAGATATTCACATTTCCGATTCCCATATAACGGAAGACACTTTAGTGACCTTCGTTGATTTTATTCCAGGAGTCGTCGAAAGGACCTGTTCAGCGGCCATGTCACACGGAGCAGTTAAATATCATTCTTACAGGTCAGTTGATAAGCTAATTCATTCCGATCAATTGAAATTCAATCCAAATGATTCTCAATTGTCTCTTGTATCCTTTTACATGATAATCACCGAATGGATTTCATTATTATTCGTGAACTGACCTTTCAGAAGTTTAATCGAAATGGCCAATAAATGGTTACAACGTAATCCAGAGTGGAAAGTGTTTAATTGTGAGACTGTATTGTTATTATATAAATACAACGATATTAAAAACTGTAATGAGTTACGTCCAAATGATTGTTGCTTTTACATCTCAGGATCAGAACGGACAAATGTCCTTAAGGGATTAAGGTAAGTTGAAGATCAAGACCAAACCATTGACCATTGGTCAGTAAGATAATCTATTAATACATATAACTATCGTTGTGTAACTTGACCACTTGATCTTAATGTTAAATGTTGTTATAAGTTTGTTGATTGTTGACTTGGATTGAATATCTTACTTGTGATGATATTTTCTCATTTGTTTTGATTACCACTTTTACTATAATTAATTGTTGTTATTTGGTTAATTGTAATAGTAGCTATGCTCAAGAATAACATAAATAACTTAATTATTTGCTTAGATCATTTTAATCAAGATTAATTATCTTAATTTCAACTAAGGATTTGGTAACTTTATTTACTTGTATTTCTGGCTAATGATTAGCTTTTCATTATTATCTTTGGATTGAGTTACTTAAGTGAATTAACTTAATTGTTGCTCTTAATTTACTTTGCTCTCATGTTAATGTAATCACTTTCTATGATTATTGTTCAACAATCAACAATAATTAACAATCATCATTTTCTGACCAAGTTAGTTAATCAAGTTAATTATTTCGAGAATTTTTTTTTCATGTTGATTATTATCATTAAGTTTTTCTTTCTGATTGTTATGAATTAATAAATAATTGATTTTTGATCACTTGAGATTTGAGTGTTGTCATGAAATTTACATTATTAGTTCAATTCTACATTCAATTAATAGGAAACTCCCAGAGTTTCATGATAATCTCATCATGATCTGAATAATTTCAACTATTTTTGTCTCTTGTTTAGTTTAATTTCAACTGAATTAAAAATCACTGATCTACATTTGCGTGATTACCTTTTGTTTCATGTTGTATCTCATTGTCTTTTGGGTTGAGTGATGTCCAGTTTGTCAGAACTGACCAGTTGACCAGACAAAGTTTTTAGACTGTAATCAAAGTTTTCTTTCCCTATCGATTGGAAATTTTATTAATTCTGTTTTTTTTTCACACTATCGATTATGTAATTACAAATTAATCTCATTTTACAATTTATCATTAAAATGAACAATGTATTTATTGATTGGTCACTAAATCAATTGGTCAGTGTGATTATGTGTCAAGTGGCTAGTCTAGTAGATTAGAGTAATTAACATTATGCTCACACAATTAGAGTCAAACTGATTTATTATAAAGGATTAAATCAATCATTTCATATGATTTACCTTGAATATTGATTATTAGAATTGTTTTATTGGATAATTTAACCTGACAATTAGTTTATCATTGTGAGAATCAACAAAAACAACAGCAACTAATTATTGTGATTGGTTTAATTTCATCATTTTTGCTAATGAGGATTTTTATGAAATTACTATGGTAACGGTAACATCTATTGAATATGAATTATGTTTGACTTAATTGTTGTACTTGACCTTATTTCAAGGTTGATTCTTTGGAAATGATTTATGGTCAGTTCCGGTCAACAGTAAGAATTATATTCTGAGTTTTTTTTCTCAATTTTGTTCGTATAGATTATGGATAAAACTGAGAAAACGGTCAATTCGTCGACATGGTTCATGTGAATACCAAGAATTAAACTACACTGACCTTGTTCCAGAGATCGACGAGAAAGGAGCTTTTGCCAAGCTTCACGATCTAATCGAACAGGCCAACATTTTAATTCGAAAAGAAGAGATCCAAGGTCGGATCATTTCAGTCGAAACTGTTACCTACGAAGCGAATACCGATTGGAAGATCGATCCAGACGCTACATTATCGGCACTTTCCACGAAAAAACTATTCATTCTCAGAATTTTCTACGAAGAGGGTTTACCTTTACAGGAAGAAATTGGTAAGTATATCATGAGAATATTATTCGAGGAAGAGATAAAGTTAATATAATAAAAAAAAGTTCTAACTAGAAAAGAAATAACCTTCGATTCGATAATAATAACATTTCTTTTTGTTTCTTGTTTTCTTTTCATCTTCCACCTTAACATTTTGTTCATTCAATTTTGTTGAAACTTTTCTCATGAGTTCCCTGAAAATAGAAACACACCCAAAGTAAAATATCATGAATAGAATTGAAACTCACCCAACAACCTATTCAGGATTAATCTCAAATATCAAGAGACCAAGTTAATGATAATCAACATGATAGCACGATAATAATTTACTATCAAAAAGTTTTTTTCTCCAACAACAGATAAGATTAGAAATCACATCTAATAAGAATTGACCCTTGGTCAAGGAGTAATTTCCCCTGCCCCATATTTTGATTGATGATAATAACTTAAGTATAAAGTGTAACCTTGATGAAGATTTTTTTTCCTCCTCCACTTTTTATACGATGAACAACATTAACTGGACAATTTGAAATTGATTACATTGAATTGAAAGCTTGACCAAACCCTTAATGTCCATAAGTGTCCAGTTTATTGTTTCTGTCCATGTGATAATAATAATAACATGTGAATATAACTCTGATTTTCTGATGATTCAGCTCTTCGGGTAATTGTTATCGGTTGAGCCTAATTCAGTTCAATTTAATCTTGACCACTCTCCCCACTCCACCCAAACCATTTCCACCAATACCCTCAATTAATTGATTTAATTATCATCCTCTTCTTGCTGATTATTACTCACCATTAAGGGAGGAGACACACCCGCCTCCCTTTGGGTAACCTTATATGTAATTTTCATCAATCTGCTTCTGTCTCATCATTATTTTCATCATAATTAATGACAATCAAGTGATAATCATGATAATAGTCGAATGATTATTTTGAAATGATTTTATTAACATTAGTTTACTTTTACTTAATTGTATCAATTTTTTTCTGATTCCTGAAGATGATCAAGTTAATTTAGTACTCAGGTAGATTAATCCCCAATCAACAGTGGTAATTTTTCTGAAGCCAATTGATTGTTTTTTGAGTAAATTTTGACTCATTTTGAGGAATCAAAATATCGTCAAAAAAATAATTTATTCAAAAAAGCTCAACAGAATTAGATCTTTATAAAATTTTTTTAAATGCAAGCTCAGACAAATTTTCAACTGAATCAACTTGATAGAGTTATTTCAAATTCTGTGAAGAATATTTAATTTGATATTTTTGGCTTTGATTTAGGCACTAGTAGAGTATTAAGATTTGAAAGTGGAAAGTTAGAAAAATATATAGTAAATAACAATTTCATTTGAATGAGATCAGTGATATGCAGATGTAGATTATAAAGATACAAAAATTTCAAAGTGTTCGATACTAGAAACGGATAAGATTCGAGAACGGAAATTGATAAGATTCTGATGATAAATAAATATTGAAATATGATATAATAAATTTGATAAATTGATTCTTCTAGTGTATATGAACTAGGAATATTGAATATTGGTAACTCTGGACGGCGTCTTTTCTTTTACTAATCAAAGATCAACTTCCATATTTTCTTCTTGGGTTGATGATGGCATTTCAATATTTTCGATGGCTTGACATAGATCTTCATCCAACTTTTCAGATTCTCGATTAAGCACTGGTTCGAATTCCATTAAAATAGGCTCACATGTAAACATTGAGAAAGATTTATTTCCATTTGTTTGCTCAGAAAAAAAACTCGATGTTGAAAGATTATTCGGAGATCCTTTGTCTGAGACCATTTCAATATTGTCGTCATCGATACTCGAGTTTCCAACATTTTCAAGGATTTTTGTTTGACTGGATAGAAGATCTTTGACAGGAAGTTGAATTTTTGTTTCAACAAGAATGGTGATTGATTCCATTTTCTAGAGAAGATCAAAAATCTGAATTAGTTTTCATATGAGATAGGCAGCGAATTCAAGCGAAATTAAGCTTAATTGAGCTCTAAAAAAAGCTAAATGCCTAATCAAAGATTTGAATCTTATTCCATTTAATTAGAAAGGTCCAGAATTAAATTGGTCAAAATCATTGGAGTAATTAACACATAATCATTTAGAAATTCAGATTGATCAACAATCTAAAAAGGAAAAATCTTGTAAGAGAAAATGAAAACAAATAGAAATGTAAACAAAAGAATCTGACAAAAACATTCTAACCTCAAGCTTTTTTTCAAGTGATAAATTTCTATTTGAATTTTTAGTATCATAATCTCTTTCTTTTCACAAAGATTCTTCTCTTTCTCAGATTTTCTTTAAATTCTGATTCTAACAATTAGTTCATCACTTGAAAATCAAAAAATTAGATAAATATCACGAAAAGGAAAGATGAAAGAAAATTGAAAAGATATGAAAGAGTTGAGAGAGATGAAAAAACTCACTTACCTTTTTTGTTTTGATGTTGATGTTTGCACAATTTTTGTCTATTTTAATATGGAAACGAAATTTTTGTTTGAAATTGATCACTAGAATTTAGTAGAATTCACAATGATTTGATTATTTGATCAAATTCGATGAAAAAATTTAGCGAAATGAAACACAAAATGAAAAAACGATCCGGTTGAAAAAGTCACTTCTTACGTTAGAAAGCTTTTTTTGTTCTATTCTGACGCGCTTTGAAACTCTTCACAAATTACATAGAAATTGATCAATAAGATAATCGTTCTTATTCTGATAATGAAAATCACGACTTTTAGCCAAGATGAACTTTGCACTGATATCAGAAATTCTAACCATCGAATTATTCTGAGAAACACTTTGAACTTTTTTTATGTTGACCAATGGAAAAACAAAATCTCCGGTGAATCCTTGAAATGAGATATTCACAATTTGAGTTGAGATCCTACGACACCAGAAAAAGAACTCGGATCTACATTCGATGATTCGGTCAATAATGAAATAAGATCCATCGGTTGTCTTGATTTTTGAATCATCTCTTTTTCGCTTTTCACTATAAGATACACATGAATATCTTTTTCCATTGAATTTGATGGTTTTCAAAAACTTGAAATGACAAAGATCACGAATCTGGACAATATTCAATGATCTTAGAGACTCTGATATTTCATGTATTTCAAGTGGAATCGCTGGATCCAAGATCTCGGTGAAATGATCTTTTTCTTGAGGGATTTCGAATAGTTTTTTTTCGCGCGATGAAAGATTCCATTGATTGACTTTAGTCATTTTCTCGTTGTAAAGATGAAAATCAGCCATGAAAAAACGTAGAAGAGATGGTCCAATGTTCGTGAAACGGTGAACTTTCTTTTTTATATAGCCCATATGATCTTCCAAAGGATAAGACGATACTTTTGAATTTGGACCTAGATTCTTGAAAGATTCTGATAAATGTGATAAAATGTGTAAGTTGTACGAAAGGAAGTGACTACCATAAAGCAAAACACAACCATGTTGAAACTCGGCCACAAGGTTGTCCAATTCTGATTCGACAGAATCTGATCCTTTTCCAGTGTGAGCAATATAATAGATTCTTGCAAGTACCAATATGTGGTTACGGTAGCTCTGTTTGAGTAGTCCACTCATTGACGGAAAGAAAAAATAAGCTAGAAATGAATCAAATTCACTGCTTTTCCAATATCGTATATGTTCCAGACTTCTTGGAGCTCTTGTAAATTCGGTCGGAACTTTGATTGAAACTAATCTTTGGCTGAGCTCTGATGTGAAACTGTTCCGATCAACTCGTCGTGCGAAAGGATTTTTTTCATTATTATTCAAAATTCCTCTCATTAATATATTACGAAAAACACCAAGACTAATACTGTGCATGGGTTCGACAGCAATTCCCTCGACAATGTCAAAATCATCGAGAATTAGTAATGGAGATATTCCATTCAAACCTCCGAATCGAGGATTCTGTGAAGCAAGATTCTGATTATTCCTTGATAAAAAATCTTTGAATAGAATAAAGTCATTTCGTGATCTTTTCAGGTTTCGAGTTTCTTCTAGAGTTTGATTCGGAAAAAGTCGAGCATTTCTTATAGTCGAAGCCTGTATCAGGCACCAATCACACCCTTGTTTGTGATTGAATTGCTTCACATTCCTTAAATATGCTCGCATTGGAGCATCAGCAATTAATGAAATCAGATGGAAAGTTGCTTTTTCAATTATCCCATGGATATTTTTCCATTCAATTGGTTCACTTGATAATTGGCTCAATTCGTCAGCTATCGGGCCTAGATAACATTCAACAGGTGGCTTTTGTCTTCCAACAAACAAACCTACTAGTAGAAAATATTTTCTCCGGAACTTTAGTCTCATCTCATTTATCGAAATGAATATTGGGAATATTTTTTCTTGTGAACTTTTGAAAGTTGAAATCTCATCAGCATGTATTGTCAAAGTTAATTTCTTTATATTAGAATTTTGACTTTTTTCTTTGACTTTTTTTGCTAAAAGACAATTTGAAATTTCGTATTTATCTTGTTGATCATTTATCCAGCACGTATCGGGTAGACTAGACAGAATCTTTTCCAACTGAGGCTTGAGAGGAAGATGAAAGAAATATTTTCCTTCTTGTATTTTCAAAGGATACAACCTTTCATCGCAGAGATATTGTTCACAATTTTCCGCTTCACTATCAAAAGGGCCATGAGAATGGCCATTTTCACATAGAATGTAGATGTTTGACACAATTTTCTTTGATTCTTTATCCCAAAAGTTCCTCAAACTGGGTAGTAAATTCTTGTCACTTGAAAATCTATCAATCCAACAATTGAACAAATTAACAACCAATTCAGCTGCACGTAAACTTAATCTTCCACTGGACAACATGGTGAGAAAAATCAGATCGGAATAATCTTTGCGACTTGGACCAATTTTTCTAATACCATTTGAATCAGAAAAAGAATCACTTTCTGTTTCATTGGAAGAGGTTGAATTAACACTGGTTATCTCTGAAGATTCACTAACACTTGAATCACTTG